TGGAGGTCTCATGTATTTATTGCAGATACAGCAATCAGTTTTGCCATCAGGAAATTTGTTCTTGTGAAATATTGTTGAGCAATGGTTTTCTCTTGGCATTGTCTCTTGGCATTTACTTTTGGTGTACCTGATCACCTACAAATATCTGAATGTATAAATGTTTCACAACTCTGTAGGCTCACGTGTGTATCAATGCAGAATCTACATGTATATGAATGCAGTTTCTACCTGTATATGAATGCCGAATCTACCTGTATATTAAATGCCGGATCTACCTGTATATTAAATGCCAAATCTACCTGTATATTAGCACCTTCACCTTCAGGATGTCAATCAAACAAACCTTGAGAAGCTGCCATTATCGAACACTATTGCCCTGCCTCTCCAATTAATTTTAGGGATGGATGGGTAGCCTAGTGGTAGCTTTCGTCACACCGAAGACCAGGGTTTGATTCCCCACATAGGTACAATGTGTGAATGCCACCGTCATGATATTGCTGGAATATTGCTAAAAGCGGTGTAACATCATACTTATTCACTCCCAGTTAATTTTAACCAGAGCAGATGAACAGACCAACTACAGATAGTCCACCATGGTAACCAGGAAGAGCAACACATGCAGCATATACTCAATACAAGCTTTATTTTCAATATATCTTGGATGACATAAAACATCACCAGCTTCATATAAAAAGTCAAAAAGCAGGTTATTGTAGGTACAGCTGTAAAGCTTCTCTGACATCACTACAAGGACCTACTGCTACATACTAGCACGGAACATTTCACACTCACCTACATTCTTGTGTTGTACTAACTTCATCCATGTCACGGAAATCATGGAAATCTGAATATGCATCTATGCTTGACATATATTTTATGCTGATAATCAATACAAATCAAAGTTGAAACAAATACTGGGGTTCAATGTCCTGATTTCAGAATGTGGTCATAGAGTACAGGACCCCATTCCACAAAGCGATCGTAGCGCTAAGGTGATCGTAACTCCCATACTTTAACATAGACTTACGACTGTCGTAGCGCTAAGATGATCATAACTCCCATACTTTAACATAGACTTACGACTGTCGTAGCACTACGATCGCTTTGAGGAACGGGGCCCAGGTTGATAGTTTACTGGCAAGTTAAGAAGACGGAAGGCTACCAGACTATGGAATATGTGCACACCTTAATAGAAATAGACACACAAACTTCAGAGAAGACGCCATAAAGTGAGCACCATTATGATCAAAACTTACTATATTTTCAATGGAATCGAACAGTGAATTACAGAGCCTGCTAACAACACGGTGCAAGTGCAATTTGTTTGGTGTAGTCTCAGCTGTAACTGTGGTAGGTTTAATCAGTATGATTCACAATTTGCTGTGATCGTATCTCTGATTGTAACTTCTGTGGCCATATATAAAGTGTTTACACAGGTCGGTTGTTGACTGCTGTTTAAGTTTCTACATTGCCTGCACAGCTTACACTAATCAAGGCTGCAGTGAAATATTCCAGGTACAGTTGAGCACCGTTGTCTTGATATTCATGGGACCAAGTAAAAATATCGAGTTATCCGAACTTCGAGACATCCGATCAGAGCCTATCATTACATACCACTATGAAAGAAAACAGAACGCTTCTCAGTATGTTTTGATTCGAAACTATAATCCTTTGTCAGTAGTGTTTAGTCGTAACAGTGAGTACTTCCTAATTAATTCCTTCTTAATTAATCCTAATTAAATAAAAAAACAAGTGACACCTTCAACTCAATTAGCCCTAAGTAGTTTACACTACAGCAGCCTAAATTTGATTCCTGCCGCACATGTGTAAACATGTGGAAACAACCTCAGTTCAGAGGGATACTTGCCCATGAAAGGTAGGTGAATATCAAGTTTCTTTGTAAATATCAAGTTAAAAGGGTAATTTTGCTTGTTGGGACCATGAAATTATATCGAGATATCCGAAATATCGAGACATCCAAATTGAGTTAAAAGAGCTTGAATAAAGATAAATTATGAAGGATTTTGCCAGGACTGAGATGTTATATTGAGACAACCAAGATATCAAGTTACCAGATTTTGGCACAACGGTGCTCGACTGTATTGACTACAATGGTATGGAAATATATATTTTTATATCTATTTATATATTTTTATAAATATAGTACCCTGGATAGCCGTGCAGTAAGACTAGTATTGTGTTGAAGCAGCTCAAGTGATTCCTAGAACAAGAACTAGAACTAGAACTACTCCTATAACAACCTCTTTTGGTGGCATTTAGAAGCTGGTATGATGAAAAGGAATGATTTTTTTAGGATAGACAACTTCTTTATTGCAATGGACGTCACGCCGAAGACCCGGCTTCGAATCCCCACATGGGCACAATGTGTGAAGCCCATTTCTGGTGTCCCACGCCGTGATGTTGCTGGAATATTGCTAAAAGCGTCATAAATCCTAACTCAGTCAGTCAGTATTGCAATGGATGCACTTTTGGTGTAGATGCTAACACCATTATCAAGCAAGTGATAACAGTGTTAGCATCTACACCAAAACGTCGTATCCACACAATAAAGAAGTTGTGTATCCATAAAAAATCTTTAACAGCTTTACCTCAAAGTCATGATCAATATAATCAAGCTTCGAAGTCATTGCAATCATGTCTTCATCCGGTTAAATCTTCATAAAAATATGCATACAAGGCACTTATGTGAAATCAGAAGCTCAAGATAACGCTGTCAAAAGAGACCTGCTATGGAACATGCTTTCATTCACACATATCACTAGACATAAATCTGCTGTAAAAATATACAGGGCCACGGCAGGAACTGCACTGTATGTGAAATAGGTACATAACATCATGCAAAAACATACTGTTATCAGCAAGAAATATAGTTCTTGCATACTGTTATACATTTGGTGAATGAAACAAACACCACAACAATTACTGACATCAATAATCGATAAATTAGTCAATGGTAAATATGGTGAAGGAACAGTTCAAATTTTGGAACATCTGACATGACTAGTTACGTCCATGACAGCGCAGTTCAAATGCTTGTACATCTAACACCGCTCGTTATATCCATGAGACTTAACTGTGAAAATGCTGACATCCTCAAAGAGTCTACCACAAAGAAAAATAGTGACAAATACCCAGAAGAAAAACCACACACAGCACCATTGCATGATGGTTATCAACACATCACAACAGAATAAAGAATTTTGTCCCGTTATCAAAATGAACTGCACTCTTACATCCTCATACATACATAAAAGTCATTTTCATTGTTATCAAGATTTCATATTACCTGTGACTTAGCGGTTAAAGTGTTCGGTCACCCCACTTCAGTCCTAGGTTCAAAACCCCATGTGGATACTTGTGAAGCCCATTTCAGGTGATCTAGTAATATTGTGGGAATATTGCTACAAGTAACTCCCTGCCTCCCTCTAGATACATTATACATGTGATGTATGCTGTCAGCAGTTAATGTCCTGCTTCCTAATGGTGTCAGGACTTACACCAGAACATTCACACAATTACAATCAAGTTTATCATCTTCTTATGAGCACCTATTTCTGCTTCAACGACCCAAAAATCAGTGAAACTGTTATTCCATTTGTAAATGAAAATAAAATAAAATAATGAAGTCTGCATTCAACTAGTAAAGTGAAAACAATAAATGTTTTGACTTCAGTACATGCACCACATTGTCAACAAAAGTCAGTCCCCCCTGGATTCTGCGGCAAAAAAAATGAAATTCTGCGGCGAATTTAAGTATTTGAATTTTACAAATTCTGCACAAAATTCTGCAATGATATTACTGCTAAAACTTTGTTACTTGACATCAAATTGAACACAAATAAAAGGCTTGTAACATTTTCCGTGTTTTTTTTCTTTAACTTGACATGTTACGTTAATATTAAGTCAATTCAGGTAGCTATGGGAGTTCTGGGAGAGCAGGAAGTGGCGGTTCAACTACGGGACGGTCTGGATCTTCCGGAAGAATATTTGGAATATCTGCCATTGTCTCTTGATTGAACTTGTCATACTGGAGTCTCTGATTGTAGTAAAGAAATACCAATGCTTTGATTGGGTCACCCATGCATGACATATTTCAATACGTTCCTTTTCAGCAATAGTTTTGGAATGGAGAGACGTGTCAATCGTTTTCTGTTTCTTTGACTTACTTCCATTTGTACCTTCAGCTTTCCTTGCGAGATGTTTTTTCGATTTAAGTAGGTGATCTTTGACAGTACTTTTCCGTGTGTGATCGATGACGACATTACATACTTTGCAAAATAGCTTTCCACCATCTTCATAAAGATCGCTCGACATCTGACTTCGCTCGTTAGCAGACAGATTTCCAAGTTTAGATCCCGTTTGACTAGGAGGACCTCGCTTGTTTAAAAATTTATCCATGACGGTGACCACACTTATCGACCGGGAACTTAGCAGACAAGCGCATCCGGTATTAACTGGAACGGTGCATGTACAACTAGTACTGGCACGAGGAATATGATTGTTAATATAACGCTTGTTGCCAATTCATGTTTTGTAATAATACCAATTGTTCGTACTATAATTTCAGGCATATAATTCCGTATTGTGCTATAGTTCAGATCAAAACTATTAGACTTCACATGACTAACATAAACGATTATGATGTACACTATGAACGTTTAAAAATGCCTACCCAACTTTTAGTAACACCTGGTTTAGCTGGCTGAATGGGATTCGCTGAATGACATGTTCGAAGTTTGGATGATTTGTAAACAAGTCGACTGTTATTCAAAATTCTGCTTGTAATTTTATGAATTCTGCGGCAAGGAATTGCAAATTCTGCACGTGTTCTGCATGGAAATTGCTTTTCCGCGGCTTTGATGACATTCTGCACTGGGAGGTGAATTCTGCAAAATATTCCGAGACCGCGGAATCGCAGAATCCAGTGGGGACTGAAAAGTCCATGCATACAATATCTATATATGGTTATGACTACAGTAGGGTGTACAAGACACAACCGTGTTTACTGCATAAAACAGCCCTTGATACAGGCCATGGCACATCAACATCAAGGACCTTATCACAGTGATCTAACAGTTCAGTGCATGTTCTGCATAGAAAATCAATTTGAATATTGCGTTTAAATGTCAGTAAATAAATCGCATAGTATGATTATTGCATATATTGTCAGTACAGATCCTAGAGATGGCTGCTATCACTTGCCAGTGACACACAAATCAGCGTCAGCTCTCTGTCCCCATTCTATCCAAGAGCCCTGAAAAGACACAACCATCTTAGTCAAAGGGGGACAACTCTTCTGGCATAAGGTTTGCTGTCTATCAGTGTGAATATCTTTGGGTGTTTACCAGAGGTACAACATCAACAAGTCAATCAAACTACAGCTATGATGTCCCTCTACTCTTTTCAACTGTAGATTATCTGCAATGAATTGACCACTCACTACTTTAAGCGACGCAAATTTTCAGCTCATGCTTTAATTCTAATCCATTGCAGTATGAATATGCTAGTTCAAATGAATAAAGGACATCAAGGCTTAGAGTCAAATGACTTTAACCTTTAACAGACTGTACTTTTACCTTTGACACAGTGTGTTAAAACTGATTACACAGTGATTTGTTATTTGGATGCCGCAATTTAAGTAAGATATTGCACATGTAACTGGACATACGTTCTAAAAAGGTTAGCTAGTCCAGGTACACAGATTTTCTAAACATATTCTTCCTGGCTCCATTTGGTGATGAAACATGGGTATAGAAAAAAGTGCACAAGAACATAATTGTTACATTTTCTTCCCAATGTATCCAGAGGCATTTAATTTTTCAAATTTTATTTTTTAAACAAAATGTAAAAAGGACAAATGCACACATGAACTATCCATGGATGTGATTAGTACCCGGTATATAAACCTGTCAAGTCCCTATACGGATTCATGATAATAATGTTCTTCTCTCTGCAAGAAGCTATTTTATTTGTATGTTCAACTCTTTGCTGGAGTTGTCCACCAGAAGACTGTTGATTTAGCTTTAGCACAGAGATTTGATTGAAAATCTACTTTCAGATTAATCTTATCCATTGTATAATCAATTATTAACCAAATAGTATGATTGTGATGTGATCATTTGCGGATGTTTATACTAAATCAGATACCACAGAAAGTCAAAAGTATTTTGTATTTACCAGGTGTAGGATACAAAGCGATTGACATCAACTTAGGTCAGCAATATTATATCAATGGCCTTTACACCTTGTACCCATTGCATGTGGATCTTTGACGCTAAGGAAAACCCTCATGGGCAAGAAGAATCTATCTGGGTGAGAACAGCCAATGCTGGTTGAAAGAGATGACCTAATGGATTGGGCGGTCAGACTTGGTGACTGGGTTAATTGTGTGTCATCATAACCTGATGCTGGATCAATGCGTGCCATGATTGATCGATGGATTGTCTGGTTATCTGGTTCTTTACAAGCCATAATCATATGATTGGAATATTGCTGAGTTTGCAGTGTTAAATAAAAAATTCCCCCAAACCTCACAGCAAATCCCTCCTATTATAAGCTTTCTGATTTTCTTCTGACCCTGAATGAATCTAGGAGTTTTCTGGGCGGTGGGGTAGCCTAGCGGTTAAAGCGTTCGCTCGTCATGCCGAAGACCCAGGTTCGATTCCCCACATGGGTACATTGTGTGAAGTTCATTCCTCGTGTCCCCCGCCATGATATTGTTGGAATATTGCTAAAAGCGGCTTAAAACAGTACTCTCTCACTCACTCACTCACTAGGAGTTTTCTACTCACATAATAGACTGGTACAACTTCCTTCCCAAGGATGTGAGCGGCTGTGGAAAGGCCACACGCTGTTAGTCCCGCCAGGCATGATGCTACAAGAGGCTTGCCAAGGTCAATGCCAGCCTGGTCAAATACTGTAAGGGAGATAACTCTCAGAGTTAACAGACATGCATAAAAACACACTGATTGCCAGTCTGGACCACGCTTCTATCACGTCAACAACACCCTGACAATATCCAACATACAAGAACCTTTTCTGAAAGCAACTTCAACATAACAGCCAGAAGATGAATGCAGATCAAGTTCAGTACTCCACTGGTGTGCACACTCTACATTCCTCCATCACCTGTAGACACGTGAAGTACGGCTTACAATTGGTCTTCAGCAACCCATGCTTGTCGTCAGATGTCAACCACAAAATGTTGCAAATAGGAGTTTCAAGGATCAAAATTAGTAGTTTGACCATAAAATTAGTAGTCAACTTTATACTTAAAATCATGATGGAGTAAGAGAAAGATAATATAACACTAATCAAGAGTGAAGCTGTAATTTCACATTTCATTCAAAAGCAGATTTCCAAATTATCAGCATTACATTTCTTCTTGCCTTCTCTTTTTGGCAAAAATGTATTTAATCGATGAAAATATATGTTTTTGTCTATATATCTGAATTGTAATGAATATTCTTCAAATTTCATAGAATTTCTAGTGCAATCGTATTGTCATAGTTTGAGGCTAAAATTTGTAGCAACTACGATAAAATCTTAGAGGTTGGCATCTCTAGGATTGGGTGGTCAGGCTTGCTGACTTGGTTGTCACATGTCATTGTATCCCCATTGCGTAGATTGATGCTCATGTTGTTGATCACTAGATTGTCTGGTCCAGGCTTGATTATTTACAGACCGCCTCCATATAGCTGGAATATTGCTGAGTGCGGCGTAAAACAACAAACCAACCAACCAATCCATCACCTGTAATATTGCATACATCCAATTATTAGTCCAGCTACTGTAACAGGACCTAGAGTCATCTCGGTGAAGAAATGCTTGCTGATGGGGTTAACAGGGTCATATGGACAAGGTGTCTTTGATCAAGTGGTCCATGGACACTCGCGACACTGGCTGTCACATAGCCATTTGTAACCAATGCATCATGCCAATGACCAACAAGTGCTAAGGGCTAAGACTACAAAATAAAACGACAGCTATTTTTCTTATGAATGATTCTACAGCCTTGCATCCATCTACTCCATACAGTTCTTCAAATCAGATTTTACAGGTGGTCCCATTATTGTTGCACTGTGTCAGGCTGAGTTCTATATGGCCCCATTTCATTGCTTGACTAAAAGTAGATCACATCAGTGTGTATAACACAGTATATTAGCACTCGGTATGTGTATGTAGTGATATTGTAGACACTGCCAACCCATAGACACAATATACAGTGAGCCTCAGAACAAACTGGAAGTGATTTGTGGACATGTACATGTGTTATTAAAGCGAAATATTCATGCCTTTCATTTACCTTTGTTTGTACAAGAAGGCATATGGCTGTGTAAAAAACATTTTAATTTGTTGCAGGTTTTGCATATGTTTCTGGGTGTCTTCTTTCAACTGTTTCTTGTGAATAAAGTGTTCAGTTAAACAAATATGGTACAGATTAGCATGTCTTTCACAGGATCCTTTGTAAATACCACAAATAGTATAAATGAATTATCTGCGAGTTCGTCCATTCTGAAATGGACAAAGGGATCCCTCAGTAGGTGGGACATGGGGTAGGGGAGAATTGTAAGCTACAGTTTTGTTTTGAAACAATTTGTAAGTCTGTATCCCCAAGTTTAGCATTTTGTTTACAAATTCACCATGAATGTTGTACATGAGTGGATATTTCTCCTTGGATATGAGTTAATTTTGTTATGAATTCATCTCCTGTCTATGTATTCCGCTTATGGTGGAACAGAGTGTAGACAAACCCATGAAGTAGTTACTGTATGTTGTCTGCTTGGGATTCTGGGCAAGATTAAGTTCTCAGTGGCCTCAGCCATAGTTTGAGGATCAGGGCCCACTTGCACAAAGTAATCTTAGTGCTATGATAATCATAACTCCCATATTCTAACGCAGACTTAAGATAGTCATAGCGCTTAGACTGCTTTGTGTAAGTAGGCCCAGGTTATCAGGCCAGGAGACTTGCATGTAGACTTACATTTCTTCAGATCTTTTTTCAGATTTGAATGTCCCATCAGGATTGAAGATATCTTCAAATGGAATACATCTTGCTCCAGGAATGTGACCTGACTTGATCTCTGGACAAAACACAATATTCACTGTATTAATAGTGAAAAGAAACACTACACCATGTTCCATAGGCTGAATAACTACCTTGCATGTGTACAACAACAACAGCAACAACAACAACAGCAACAACAACAACAGAGCATATTAGTAATGCATTAGATCCAAAACTAAAGCAAGTTAAACTGTATTATCCTGATCAATGGATCAGTGAGCAATTTCATTCTCAACTCCCTGGGAATCATACAAGACAAACTGCCTTATGATGATAGAAGATTAAAAGTAACAATACCATGTAATCAAGCTTGGTTAACAGAGGCAAAGTAACATGTGTTTCAGGCATCATTAAATAATTTCACTTCCTGAACTTTTAACCGACTTAGCATCTTTATGTCTATTTATAGTATGACCTTCCAAAGCTAATCATGCTACCTGACTTGGAAAATATCAGCAAACTGCAAGATAGAAAAACTATGACATAAGAATGCAATGATGTGGGATGTCTTGGCCCGAGGTAGGAAGACATCAACACACAGCTACCTGGAGGCAGATCTGTCTCTCCCATGAAGCTCGGCACATCACGGGCATCAACTATTTGTTCTCGCTTTGTTTGGACATTGTCAACCATCGCATCATAGTCACGCAGCAGATTGGGATTGAGACGAGTTTCAAAATTCCCTCTCTGAAACAGACATGTCGAGTTTTGACATGTGTCTGAATAAGCCTTCAGTGTAATAGTGAGTGAGTGAGTTAAGATATACAGTCACATCAGCAGTATTTCAGCCATATCGTGACTAGAACAAGTTATACATTTATAATATATAAAGTTAGATTAATAAAAACGTGTCAGAGTAGGACAGCATTAAGAACTAGAATATCACAGATATAGATGTAACAATAGTATGTCAATCTAAACCTTTTTAACTATTGAAGACAATTCAATATAGAAACAGGCTATAGATTGCCAACAAACGAAGGTGGATCACCATACTAGGGACCATGGGGACTTACAGTACGTTTGCTACATGCATGATCTTGGTCTTAGGTACCCTCTCAGGAAGACAATAACTTTATGTTACTTCAAAACCCTCGAGTATACAGCCACTTACAATCTCAGTTGCAAATTTATACTACCAATCAGAAAATACCATTAATCTTTTCACAAAAGATATTATTTTGAAAACAATTTTCTTTCTATTAAAAACAAATATTAAATGATAATTAACATGGTTAACAAGATCCTTCATTGTTTTCACACTGAAATATTGATCCCTTGTGATGTTAAAGATGAAGTCAAGCAGGACAAGCTTGAACATGATTCCTTCATCACAAGGGGTACCGAATGGAGGATTCTCACCTTTTAATAGGTACTCCAGAGTATATCTAGAATGACTGGGTAATATTACCAAACATGAATTCATTGACCCATGTACTCTGTATGATTCACCATCCATATTATTTTGCATGTTTCTTACCTTCATGCTTAATTTCAACATTAGAAATACTAGCAAAAAGAAGGTTGAATATCACTAATTATTCGGGGTTCATATTTTTCATATGATGCCCTAGGGCAAAATATCACTTTGTCATGGTGACGTGATTTCATGAACAATGCTATGATGACTCGTTTCGCCTATGATGTTATGCTCTACATGCAGCGACGGCGGGTAGCCAGCCTTTGTTTTGAAAGTAGATGTGGGTTAAATTTCCTCAATTGTATGATTTCGGTAATAAATAGAATATTATATTTGTGCCCATATCATACTATGTTTACGACACTCGTGCCTAAATATCGGTATATTCTTTGCTCTTGCTCAGGAAATACCAATATTTAGGCACTCGTGTCGTAAACATAGTATGACATAGGCAATATCCTCTATATAGTTCCCTGTTATCTACAATACTCGCAAAACAGCACATATTTAGAAGTCTAGACAGTAGGAATTAAACAGTAGCTATACATTTTAAACATTACCCAACAGTGATTTAGAAGATTAGCAAACTATGTTTTCAACCATGTTCCTATTGTATCAACCTGTGCGTGGCACTTAAAAAAATACAAACATAATCAGGATGAACCCGAAAAACAATCCCCAAATCAAATTAAGTCAATTTAGTGGAATATATATTACATTTTGTCAGAATGGGATGTCATTATTATGTTAATAAGACGTGCCATAGTTCAATGCTGGTTGCCATCTGGAATCATGAATTTAACATCCATGACACTGTGCTGGAAAGTGTGCTGGCATGATTCACCTCCATGTTATAATGCACATAATACAGCTGCCACACATGTCTGCATGGATCGTGACTTTTGGAAACTAATACACAGTTTATATGTTAATGCTTTATATTTTCAGTCGCACACAATAGATCTAATGGAGACCAAATACATTTGATATGAACAGAATGATAAATGTTCAGCATCATCATGGAAGGGTCATCTAGGTATGTAGGGTGTGAAACATGAATGTAAGTGTCATGTAGCAGTATTATTCATTGTGTAACAAAGTTCAGATTTATATACAGATTGTTTCTCTGGTTTTGTGTCACTTCAAAGTAAAACGTTTTTGCTTGTATAGGTCCATCTCCTATTCTCGCGGGTTTCCTATTCTTGCGGTAAACACGTTTTCTGCCGAAATCGCTGATGCGCGACACTTAGCGGTTGTTTACATCACCGACTGTTAACTAGGAAGTGGCCCAAGTCTGTGAGTGATCAAAATCTTGGGGAGTTTATACCAACTTGGACATATCATTACTTTTTCCCGCCCTTTCCGGCAGGATTGCTCTTACAAACACTCAATAACGTTAATTCCTGGTAATACCGCGAGAATGGGAAAAGCCTCGTTTCATCAATGGCGGATGGCATTGTTTATCACCAGGCTCACGAGTGGTAATTCACCTGATGGATCTGGCAGCTGATAGATGTACATGTTAGACGAGAAGGCACTTCATTTAAAAACAACAAGCATGAATACGATAAGAATTGTCTATGTTATGTTTTCAGCTGATATCCGTAAGTACCGCGAGAATAGGAAAAGCCTTCCTACTTCGCATTCGCTCGTCATGCTGAAGACCCGGGTTTGAATCCCCACATGGGTACAATGTGTGAAGCCCATTTCTGGTGTCCCTTGCCACGATATTGCTGGAATATTGCTACAAGCGGCGTAAAACCATACTCAATCACTCAGTTGGCATGCAAGACAGATAGTTTCACACGTCCACTCAGGGATTATTGCCTGTGTCCAGACTCTCACCATGGCCTGACTAACCCAGGTGCCTGTTATTGTTAGTGACTCAATACACTGGGTTTTGGTCCTGCTTGGCAGGACCTTGACAACTGGGGCAATCCCCTTGACCAAACCCATGAAGGTCCGGGTTAGAATGAACCTTCAGTAACCCATGCTTGTCGTAAGATGGGTGCTGATGGAGAGCCCAACCTGCTAGACGACAGATCCTAAGTCATCACTGTCACTACATACCATGCATAGGCAATTTGAACAGAAATCCTCTCATCCCTCCACTTAAAGCCCAGTTCCTCTTCAGTGGCGATGCTGGGCGTCCGAGGGGAGAAGACATGACATGCTAGGCTGGGCATGAAAAGAATCTTGTCCTGAAGCAAGGTGTATGTCTTAAGGCTCCCACAAGTGATGAGGCTTGCCGACAGGAGGCTTGTATGTTGACACACCAGATTGACGGCTGATGTTAGGAACTGGTCATTTTTTCTTGCCGACATCATAAACGATGTAGCGCAGTTGATTACTACATAGCAACAGGGCCATGATGGGATGGGATAACATCGAGTCCTAGATGGAATCCTTGAATGAACCTGAGCCATCAAGTGACAACTCTGCATAACTTGGGGCTAGCTGGACAGAGAGATGATCCTGCATCTATAGGATGCTTCTCAGAGGAAGAGAGAAGAACCACTTATGAAGCATATGACTTTATGGATAACAACTTCTTGTTTATTGTATGTAGTGATGTTTCGATGTAAATTCTTACACTGTTAGGGACGTGAGTGAGTGAGTGAGAGAGAGAGAGAGAGAGAGAGAGAGAGAGAGAGAGAGAGAGAGAGAGAGAGAGAGAGAGAGGTCACTAGAGAGAGAGAGAGAGAGAGAGAGAGAGAGAGAGAGAGAGAGAGAGAGAGAGAGAGAGATCAGGAAAATTTGTACAGTAAATTATGCTTAAAATTATGCTTAGAAATTATGGGAAGGGGGCAAAATGTGGCACCTTGTCCATGTCACAAGGGTACCTACTCACCTTGACTTCAGGTTCTTCGTCTGTCACTTCATATCCATTCTCCACCCACTTCTTCAGACCTCCGTCAAGCACCGATATCCTATTGTGGCCATACAACTGAAAACAATGTCAGGAACTCCAGTTACTATGGTTACAAACAATTTCAATACACTCTTTTGTAACTGAGCTCTATTTTAAAGCATTTTTAACAATGAACGTATTGTATATGAAAAAGGCAGTTCCAGGCAGGGTAACACCAAGTAACATTACTTAAACATCATTTGGTATGTCATAGCCAGGGTTTGAACCACTGACTGTCAGCTCCCTTGGCAGATGCTTTCTGTTCTAGCTCAAGAAGTGAAAATGCAAAATCTAGGAATTTCATAAAAAACCCATGTATTTTAATGATAAGATATTACAAAATTTAGGAAAATACTAAATAAATGCATGTGGAATTTTATTTGTAAGCAAAGTGCATATTTTTTTAATAAAGAACAATTGTTGTCATCAATGACATGAACTTTTGTAACATAATAATATCTATATATATAGGACTTGTCCATATGAATATTTGTGCATGATGAGGAAGAAATATGAAAAAAGTAAGTGACTGAGTATTAGCACAGGTCGGCTGCTGACACACCCACAGGGTTCAAACCACATTCATAGGTGAGGTGAGGTGAAATTGGGTTTAACGTCATGCTTGAGAATATTTCGCTCATATGACGACGTGCATGCGTGTGTATATGCAGCTGCTGGTACTAGCCCAGACTGTAGCTGGTTTTATAGTGCTAGCCCACCGAGATACCATGCCACAGTGAAGCATGAATACCCCACTCAGACACATTATACTGACTCCGAGCCGACCAGTCCTTGTTGTACCCATTAATGCTGAGCGCCAGGCAGGGACCAACAAGTACCATATTTTAACGTCTTTTGGTATGACGCGGTCGGGGATCGGCCACATTCATAGGTTCCTCTCATGCAACTCTGTACAGTGAACTGCAGTACCTTTGGCACATAGGCCTCCTGTGTCCCCAAAATATAAGTGAAGCATATTTACGTAATAAGTGCCCTATGAATTGAAATCATTGGCCAAGTATGTTTGGCTGACTGACTGACTGAGTTTGGTTTTACGCCGCTTTTAGCAATATTCTAGCAACATCACGACGGGGGGACAATGGGCTTAACACAATGTACCCATGTGGGGATTCGAACCCGGGTCTTCGGCGTGACGAGCCAACGCTTTAACCACTAGGCTACCCCACTGCCCTCAAGTGTTTGGAATTGTAAATATTTAATATTACGGACAAAAACTATGAATTATATACACCCTTCTTATTGCTAAGACATAGTCTAATTGTCATATAGTGCAAAGAACCTGTGGGCAAGTTTGTTAATAAGTTTTGAAGAATGTTTTGCAAGGGTTATTGAGCATGCATTTAAAGTATATTTCATATATTGCACATATCTAAGATAGTAATACCAGATTAACTGGATTGGTTCATTGCATCCATAGCACTAGTTATAATATGAAATTAATAATATGTTTAACAATGCAATCTTTTCATGCCAATAATAGCATCAACATGATTAGTCTCAGTGAGTGAGTGAGTGAGTGAGAGTGTAGATAATAGCCTGACATTTACAACCTTGGATCTATTTATACCTCAAAAAAGAATGAACATGTAAAATTGGCTTTGTAATCTACAAGATTTCGGTTGAGTAAAATGTCAACAGCTGGTGACTAGAACTCCACATTTACATCCTGTACCTTGTCAGTCAGCCATAGCCAATTTTGCTTCACTAGCCATGAATATTCTGTTGAAAATATATATGCCTGCTGTGCATTTAATTTTAAAAGTGCATTACTGTAGAAACAATTTACACAGTTTTATATTTGGAGGACCCTGTTATGCACATAATTGATCCATTTTTCAAATGTTGAATCTACAAACCAAATAGGGTTTCATTTTCATCCTACATCTAGGGCAGTGGGGTAGCCTAGTGGTTAAAGCATTTGCTTGTCATGCTGAAGACCTGGGTTTGATTCCCCACATGGGTACAATATGTGAAGCCCATTTCTGGTGTCCGACGCCGTGATATTGCTGGAATATTGCTAAAATCGGCGTAAAACCATACTCACTCACTCGCTATTAATATTTAACAACCCTCATCAAATCTAAAGCAACTTTTCCAAATGATGAGATCAACACAACCCTGTTTACAGTCTACTTTTCCTTGAAATACAAGCAGCAGGAAGTGGGTAAGTGTTGTGTTTCCTTCCTGCGAACCACTGGAGCCACTCGATATTAAGATCTATATATGGCAGTGTAATCGCGCAGACCCAAGCATTAGACCTAGTAACCCCTCCAGTTTTAAATAGTGAAAAATTTAACTGTGGAGTGAAAACATAGCAAATGAGTTTGGTTTAATGTCAGAGTGGAGTAGTCCATGTCTGGACATGTGAGTTGTCTCAGGCAATTACACTTGGTGGATGCACCAAACATGCTGCTAACCAACCTAGGGTTTTTAGCAACAAACCCAAGACTGGCTAATGCTAGAAACTAAGGCATGCAGCTCTGCAACTATGACTTAGCCTGTTGGGCCACCTGTGATTCTTCCATTTCCGACCGCCTCCGTGGTGTAGTGGTTAGCGCGTCCGCCCAGAGAGCAGAAGGTCGCGGGTGCGATCCCCGACCACGTCATACCAAAAGAAGTTAAAATATGGTACTTGAATCAGTGTAATGAGACACACTCATACTTTCATGATCTGAAGACCCGTGAAGGTCCGGGTTAGAATGAATGTTCAGTAACCCATGCTTGTCATAAGAGGCGACTAACGGGATCGGGTGGTCAAGCTCACTGGCTTGGTTGACACATGTCATCGGTTCCCAATTGCGCAGATCGATGCTCATGCTGTTGATCACTGGATTGTCTGGTCCAGACTCGATTATTAACAGACCGCTGCCATATAGCTGGAATATTGCTGAGTGCGGCGTAAAACTAAAGTCACTCACTCATGAACTGAAATATCTTTAACAGGACTAATGTTAATTGCTGTCCACGTTGTTCTGGTCACTATATTGTATATACCACTGTTATAAGACAGACGTTTTATCACTCTGATGTGAATCTCTACCTCAAAAAAATCCAGACAGATAATATTTATTCTTTCCATCAAATCCAGACAAATTATTTTGAAAAAAGAAAATTCAAATATTGTCAATCAGTATTTGGTTTGTAAGTGGTCAGTATCTCCTATAACCAAGCAGTAAAATAAGTGCGTGATCTGTTATATAGTAGATTTTATGAGCTTCACTACGTTGGACTACATTGTTTTAATTTTTTCAACCAGATTAAAAAGAAACAAATCATAAAATGAATATCACAAAAAATAATTTCATTCATATTCCCCGATTTACAAAAGCGTTCATAAAGTTACGACCTGTCGTAAATCTATTGCTTATCTTAGGCTTACGGATGTCGTAGCGCTACGAACGTTTTGTGGATTAGGACCCAGGTTGATGAGGGTCCTTCCTGTTTTGTGTCTTCATCTTCCATGATTATTTTATTGAGCCATGGTCCAGTAGTATCATGCAAATAGGTTTAGCATCATTTATCACATGGGTAGCAAAGGCTGTTCATCAATACAGATTTCAAGCATAAATTTTCATGGGTAAGTGCATCGAGTATTGTAATGCCAACATTTACTTGCAATCCATTTAGTATATATAGTACTTGATTCTTGAAAGAAGTCTACATATGATTAAAGTTATTTGTACACCTCTGCAGGTGAGTAACCGATTTTAGATGCCTGATATCAAACATACACGTGAGAAGACATTTCAGGTCCATAATTGGCTACTCCATGGTAATAACCTGAGATCAGACGATGATGGACTACTTTCCCTATTGTAGCTTATTTGAATTCATCTACCATCCGTCTGGACACTTTATGGCAATAAATATTTGATATCTTCTCTTGTTGGCATCATTTTAGTCGCTAGTCCACAGATGTAACCGATATTTATGGACGGTCATAAGTGGAATGTATAGTAATGAGCAACCCAGGTGACGTTAAGCATGACCATTCTTATGCATTATACATCTTTTATGTATTATGCATTAAGTAATCTTTATACCTCTTTTTTCTCAGTAAGACTACAAGCTGTCCGACTTCCAATTTTGTGGAAGCCTCAGTGGGTGAGTGGGTTACTTAGAGGGCTGACTTTGTGTGCTGGATATTAGGTGCCGGACTCTGAGAGTGTGGGTTCAAATCCCAGATGGGACCCAACCCCCAAAAGTACTAGAATCTGTACTTTGAGGAGAAAGTGTTATCCCAAATATAATATATTGTTAACATGACATGTATTGACTGTTAAATTGCATGTGATGCCACAAAAACACTAAAGTCATAATAAATAAAACACATGAGTCTCAACGCATTGCTTCGTTTTTAAACAATTAGACCTCATGGCCATAGACATTTGTAAACAGAAACCTTTCTTCAGTAGTAAAATTAAAGTTTTGAAGGTTTTGCAATATATTACACTACACATCACAATATGCCAGCTCATATTGCAATATATACAATATATCCCTACTTGACTCACTCACCCTGAACAACCACCATGTCCGCACCGACGGTCTTGTGTTGAATCTATCATAGGCAATGATGTGGGTATCACTAGAGATGCCTAGGCCCTGGACGTAGTCAGTAAAACACTTGGGGTCCGGGAGATTGCGGGGTATTAGAGGCATTGGCTGTACGCACTGGTTCAAGTCAAAATGTTTAGATCCAGGAATATGACTTCTGCAACAAGAATATTATAAAATAGTACACATTCTATAAACAGTCAAAATGTTAGAATATGTTCTTGAAAGCTGATGTTATCTGTTAATTGGTATTCTAGAAGTTGGTGACTAAATAAGAAAACTATAAGCATAACAACTGCTTGTTAAATGCATTTAGTGATGTTTCCATGTATATTCTTCCACCATTATTCTAGCCCGATAACAGTGTAAAATCTACAGTCCAACAAACATAACAATTTCAAATTAATTAAAATTCAAGGGATTATATTTACATGCATAGAAATGTGTGCCTGTGTTTTAAAAATTTGAACTTGTTTTGATGACAATGTTCAGGGTGCAGTACCATGTTTAATATATCATGTAGGCAAGTGATCCTTGTACATAAAATTTTGAATTTGTTTTGATGACAATGTTCAGGGTGCAATACCATGTCTAATACGTCATGTAGGCAAGTGATCCTTGTACATGATGAATCATTTTGAATTTGTTTTGATGACAGTGTTCAGGGTGCAGTACCATGTCTAATACGTCATGTAGGCAAGTGATCCTTGTACATGATGAATCATTTTTAATTTGTTTTGATGACAATGTTCAGGGTGCAGAATCATGTCTAATATGTCATGTAGGCAAGTGATCCTTGTACATAAAATTTTGAATTTGTTTTGATGACAATGTTCAGAGTGCAGTACCATGTCTAATACGTCATGTAGGCAAGTGATCCTTGTACATGATGAATCACACTTGCTATAGTTCCATGTTTGTGATGACATCCAAAAGGACCATCTCAATAAATACTAGTATACACTCATGTACAAACATATTTACTTTAGAGATGACCTCCCTCTGATTTTGAGAAAAAATTGCATGATGTCCTAGGGAGGATTATTGAAGAATCAGTTGGTCCCCATCCTGAGTATGAATAGCAATACCACGGCGGCCACAGTCAAGTCAAGGCCAGACAAACCAGTGGCTGACTGAATGAGCACCAGTCTACAACATCAATCTCACTCAACCTGACCATGTTAAAAAGCTGAGTGCAGGATCCTATTCATTATCAGAATGACATAGCATGCACATTTCCAGCAGAAAAACAGCCATAATATTTCCCAAAGATCTCTACGAAAGACATCTTCCTTTGATTTGAGATCTAGTCTGTTGTCAAAGGTCACACAAGCTTTCCATGCAGAGCTGTAATTTATGCTGGGATAGGGATATTCTGGTCATGAATAATAGGAAAATAAATTTTAAGTGATTCCATTTCATTTGAATGGATAACCAAGCATTTATTTTTGTTCTCATGCCTCCCTTAACTAACAGAATAATTGGTGCTGCTCACTCGTGGACTGTTTCCTAATTCGTTCATCTGGCGGTTGGGCTTTCTGTACACAGGGTTACAAACTGGCACTAGCATGCGTGCCCCAAAATGTGTTTTGGCGTCATCATGTTATCACTATTCTGGCCAGTTAAAGTTTCAGGTTGACTCATGCCAAGCCCTTGTCCTCAGTTATCTACCCGTGATGAGCCAGGTTAGAATTGATCTTCGGTTACTCATGCTTGTCGTAAGAGGCCACTAACAGGATCGGGTGTTCTGGCTTGCTGACTTGGTTGACGCGTCATCGTATCCAATTGCGTTGATTATGCTGTTGATCATTGGATTGTCTGATCAAGACTCGATTATTTACAGACTGCTGCCATATTGCTGGAATATTGCTGAGAGTGGCGTACAACTAAACTCACTCACTACTCAGTTATCTAAGGTAGTACATTGCCATTCTATTACGATGAATACTTTTATCCAATTTGCCACAATGACCTTATTTCAGCCAAACTTCAAATGTGATGAAATAGATTTTCAAATAGATTACACCCTAATGTCAAAAAAAAACTTTCTGCATTACTGACTGACTGACTGAGTTTGGTTTTACGCCGCTTTTAGCAATATTCCAGCAACATCACGGCGAGGGACACCAGAAATGGGCTTCACACATTGTACCCATGTGGGGATTCGAACCCGGGTCTTTGGCGTGACGAGCCAACGCTTTAACCACTAGGCTACCCCACCGACCCCTTTCTGCATTAAGATATGAGAGGTTCAAATGAAGATGTCACTTCTGAAGCTTTGACAGCAATGGGCCTATAGGGCACATGTGAAATTAATATCAAGAAACTGTACTAGATTATTATATCAAAGATAATTCAGACACTTTCACAACATGGGCTATATTTGAAATAGTTTTAAAAGTGGCATTACAGGTAAATTTACTAATGACATCCGAGAATCATGACAATAGAAATACTAACTTTTGATAGAATTCTGTGTAGCTATCAATGCCAGGTTTTGGCAACCAGGATGTGTCTAAGATTCGCAGGATCCCATTGGTGTTGTGATGGATTGAGGCTAACTGCTCACGGAGCCAATTGGTAGAAACTAAGGTTCCAAGTCGTATAACTGTCATAGTTAAAGTACCTGAAAACAATAGAAATCTGTGATAATGATATCAATATTATCATTCTATATAAAAGCAGTAACATATATCATAAATGGCTGAAAATAAACAGACATATATTAACACATAAAGGTCCAAACTGCTTACTTGATCAATAAATTTCTTCTTCAGTGAAATTGATACACATACTTTCAAACATTTTAGAATTTAAAGGGACAGAGTGATGACTGGTCTGTCTGTTTGCATTATAGACAATAGCTGACAAGGCTTGAGCTCATTGTGCACTGTTCACCTTATTCCATGAGAGAAGTTTCTTTCCAATGACACCACAGGTTATGCTCATCACATGGAAGAACTTTCCTCTTGTTTGCAAACAAAGACACTTATTCTAAAATATGCAAAATTATTGCTATTCCTGAGCACTTTACATGTTGTATAAATATATAGATATACTACTATTGTGGAAGTGTGGTAGACGTGACATCACACATTATTTGAAGCATGATTTGATAACACACAAAATCATTGATGTACTGTAATTTTAATAGCCATGATGACATGCATTTGTTTATAACACACAACCCTGAAATAAATATATTAAATGCAGTCCAAGCAAAACTGTTTTTTTTGTAAACTATTTGATCTTCACAGAGTAAATGTTAGTCGAGACAGCATAAAACAATGTTCATGTTGTTGAGTAATGGCAGTCTCTTGGCTGAGTGCAATGTTTAAAATACCTGACTGCCAAATGCAGTATACAGAGGACAATTCTGAATCTGAGGTCTTACATTACAGCAATAACTTCTTAATAATTGACATGAAACTGTAGCTCATGCATCATTAAATACTACATGATCACCATTTGGTATACATGTATACATTTACTAAACCAGGTGAAGCATATAATTGAAACACTCATACAGAGAATATTAATGCATGGATATAATTAAAACCTTTCAGTAACAAAGTGGTATCCATTTCATACTGATGCAAACATTAATAAAAGAAAAGTGTTCGACATTAATTGCAACACATGTTTCATCATATGTTTAATATGTTACACAGTATGAAAATGTTACAAACATATAAGATCTCTATATTTGGTACAAAACTATTGTTGGCTAGAGAATGTCAGTTCATAAAATATGTGTCATTTTCTTGATAACATCAGGCCAACATAACATGGAACAAAATTACTATTTCTTGGTTATCTACTGATTATCAACCTTATGGACATTAATAATATAATATAACGTTTTTACTACATATAATTGGAAAACACTGGGGATAAATGGTGGTATATCATTCACTTTTAACTATACAAGTAACCACTCTCACAACCACAAATTCACAAGCACTCTTAGCTGACCTACTGACCACGGTTTTACAATCACAGGCTTAACTTGACTGCTGGTACCTGCTGCAGATTAGAGTCCGGCCTCCCCTCACCAACACGGCAACAGCAGATGTGACAGATTCCGTGGTATTTGCATTTATGGTTAACTATGTCATCTACTGCAAAGCAGCTAAAACTAAAAATACTCACACCACAGAGCTGTTGGTAACCACAAGACGTGTCTCCGACACTGTGCAGCTCCTGCGAACTGCTTTTCTGACGTGATCACAACGCCCGGCGAGTTATATGTGACCTTGACCTGTAATGTTTTGGAATTCAACACTTAACTTCCGGTGACCTTTCATATCACGTGACTATGATTCTTCCGGGTCCATTTTGACGACATGTTGGTTACAAACGGCGAGGAACATGCCACACTGTTGCGTTCCACAGTGCAGGAATAGAAGTGAAACAAATCCCCATTTGTCATTTTATCGGTTTCCTGCTAATCCTGCTACTCGAAGGAAATGGATCTTGATGATTCAGTAAGGAACACCAATGAATTAAATTTTAACAATTTCGATCATGTCAGCTGTCAGTCTGGTTGATACATTTTGATGCGACTTTAAACATTATAATGTGTAGTTGTACGTACCTGCCTTCAGTACATGGTATGTTTTGTAGCAACTTGAAAATATGCGTAACGGTGGGGTGCCGTCCGAACATTTGCCAGGGTTGGTACTTCCCTCAACTCTGTTAATGCTCACATTTCTTCACGTTGTGGTACTTGGTTTTCCTACAGACCCGTGCCAGTTATATTCGGACACTTGACGTAATTTCCATGGACTTACATGTTATTTCAGTGTAGCATAAATAATTTCCATGAAGTGAGATTAAGCAGGGAGACTATATAAGGGGGTGTTGTAGAGTATCCCTGGTTTAAGATGGGTCTATGTAAAATTTGACAGGCAAATTTGAAATCATCTCTGCTCTGCGCATATAATTTCAGTTCAATTCTCCGACCACTATTTTACTAATGACACCACATTTATCAACTTACCTATGGTTCCACAGGTAGGCCGCCATGTTAAAGGAGTTTACGGTACTGTACATATGTTGATTAAATTGTTTCCATTCGATAAATAAGCAACGGAAAATTAAACAAATTAACATGTATGTCTATGGAAATTACGTCAAGTGTCCGAATATAACTGGCACAGGTCTATATGATCAAAGGGCATTGCAGTCCTGCATCGTGCTATGTTGGCAACCTGCCAAGTTATATTACACTATGTAAACACATCTTTGAGTTCAAGACATGGTGTCTTGCTAACATATCCTCATAGTTATGGATTTACACTTTAAGGTTACCCAGGTACCCTCACCACTACTACCCAACCCTATCAGGTACCGATTACTTGAAGTTAAAGGTTTCCCCGTTATACCATTGATTCCACTTTCAAGAATGGCTGGATATATCTCAGGGAAAAATATTACTGGTATTTTGATCTCAACTCTTGTGACAAAACTAAATTTTCCTCTACTCTGACTGGCTGAATTGTGTGTGTGTGTGTGTGTGTGTAATGTGTGTCTGAAATGCCAAATGGTGGGCAAGTTGAAAAAGAAGGAAAAAGACATGGAGTCACATGTGGGAGCCGTGGAAATATAGTTCACTTAGTTATAGAACTTGATGAATTACCTTTGTTTTCTATTCACTGCTCAACATTTATAAATTTGTCCAAGTTTTAGGCTTGAATCTTGATTAATGCCTCCCAGGGTTACAACATTATCCTACTAGACCTCCAGCTCTACATGAATTCAGCATTTATAGGTTAATTTGAGTCAAGGATTAACAACAGTCAGGATCTCAGATGTCCCTCAATGGTCATCAGATTGCACTCAGGAGGTACCAGGTGTCGCTATCAGGCACACTCTGCTTTCACTCTCAGGCTTGGCTGGAACCTGTGTTGGAGGTGTGTGGTTCGATTCGATTCGATGTGTGGTCGCTACTAGTGGGTGGCCACAATGGAGACAGTATATAACTTGATTGTTTTGCTGAAAATGTCACCATAAGCGGGCATTGAATTGACAAACATTGTCATGCTGTGAGGTACCAGCTCTCCACAGGGTACAGCATGTTGAATTTGTTCCTGAATGATGAATAGAGGTGTTTTCTGACTTCTGCACTTCTTAAGAATACGTTGAGAGGAAATGATAAACATCTGGTTGTCTAGCATTTTGAAGTGAACATTTATTCTCGAATATGTCATGCAATTTGAACAACTGCTTGGTTATATTTCTTTGACCATTTTAACACACTCTTTCTCTCGTTCCAGTCCAAAACTTCTTTCACTAGACTACCAGTGAAAAAAATTCCATGAGTACATATATAAACTTGATATTCAGTCTGTGCATTCTTACTTGCCATAAATATTAATATACTTTTGCTTTATTAACGTATATTTTTGTCACACCTGTGTTATTCATAGTTGGAGTTATTCTAAAGTATCTTAATAATATATGGGTAAACGTACAGGTACATTCCATCGACAAAACTCAGTGCCATGACATCACAAAATGATGTTATATTGCAGTTATATATTACATTACATTACATTATTTTATATTATCCCTGTTGAAGATTTGGAACTACTTGCTGGTATGTTATATGCTAGGATTCATATTTCAGGAAAATGTTGGTTTGTCAGTTCTTACAGGGCAGATGAGTACCATTTACAAAGTGATGTGACTCCGGAGATGACTTCTTTCAGTTGATAAAAATTAGGAAAAAAAAATCCCAACATTTCGTCAGTAGCATAAAATATGTGTCCAGACATTTTGCCAAGCATCTGATATAAACTGAAAGGTCTTCTTGCATAAATTGAAAATGCTGACGAAAGTGGGTGTCAGATTGATAAAATGTTTGATGATGTTTATGGTGCTATGGAGGGGTCAGTTTCAGGTTGTACTCATTCTGCCCATTTTGTTACTTTTGTTGCATTTACCTTAGTTTTTATGTATTCATGGTAATTATATTAATTTCATTTTGCAACAGAAATAACAGTAATCTTAACTTTGGTTCAATGTTCAACACATTGTTCATGAAGTACATGTCCTGGACAGCTTCAGTTTTTGTGAAACCCATGATAAGTGAGGTGAAATTGGGTTTAACGTCGTGCTTGAGAATATTTCGCTCATATGACGACGTGCATGCGTGTGTATGTGTATGTGCGGCTGCTTGTACTAGCCCAGACTGAAGCTGGTTTTATAGTGCTAGCCCACCGAGATACCATGCCACAGTGAAGCATGAATACCCCACTCAGACACATTATACTGACCCCGAGCCAACCAGTCCTTGTTGTACCCATTAATGCCGAGTGCCAGGCAGGGACCAACAAGTACCATATTTTAACGTCTTTTGGTATGACGCGGTCGGGGATCGAACCCGCGACCTTCCGCTCTCCGGGCGGATGCTCTAACCACTACACCACGGAGGCGATCGAAACCCATGATAAACACACAAGGCATATCTCTTGAAATATAAGATTATGATCAGTATGGATCTGATCCCGTTATGGATAATCATGGGATCCCTGCACTTGTAACGGTTCAAACTGCAGAATGTCAAATTATGGAAGTATACACATCTAATAAATAATACTAAACCTGGTAATAAATCCCGGCCTCCTTTCACAAATCACTAAGGTGATCGTAAGTCACTAAGGTAACCTTAGTGCAATGTTAAAGAATGGGAGTTCAGGTTAACCTTAGTAAAGGTTGCTTCATGAAAGGAGACACTGGAATACAGTTGATTGTGTCATAATGCAAAGTGGAATTCATTTCTCTTTCATTCTTGTGTTTGTCATTTAAGGCGAGATGACTTTGATCCAACCCCTAATACCCGAGTCTGCAGTTGGCATTTCCCCCATGGCAAGGAAAAGGGACCGTCTAGATTTCACTGGACTGAGGATCTCAAGGAGGGACAATTCACTCCTCATGATGATACCACTGACGTGAGGAAAACGAGGCAGTCAAGGAAACTTGGCGGCAGTACCAAGCATTACGTTAAATCGGACAATCCTCTGGAGATTCTGGCTTCTGCTGCCTCAGTCATGGAGGCATTGGCGCCACATCCTGTAGCCATTGCAACAAAGGATCTTGGGAAAAGATACTTCAGAGTCATTGATGATGTGGAACGCTACAATTTACATGCTTATGCTAAAAAGCCGCGTTCAGCAGATAGTGTACGGGATGGTAAAGTGGATAAAACGATGGATGGTGGTGTGTCTGAAGACTATGTGGCTATGTAACTAACAAGACTTATTTTTGTACATATTTATATCTATTTCTGAGATGTATTTGTATATTGTTATTGTGATATTAAAGAAATGTTTGCTATTTTGTCATGTACCAGTAATCTCTTTTTCAGCTTTCTGAACTGATTAATTTTGGAATAAATATTTTGGAAAAGTGATTGAGTTTAATATTGTTTTGAACACTAATGTAAGGAAAGACTTAAGTAATGCATGCCCTGGACAGCTTCAGTTTTGGTGAAACACATCATCCCCACTCAAGGCATTTTTCTTGAAAACAAAGGATTGTGATCAGTATGGTTCTGTGATCCAACCCATTATGGATAATCATGGGATCCTTGCACTTGTAAAGTTGCAACGGATAACTGGACTGCCAATGCCTAGAATATACCGTGCAGATTGTAAACATTTGAAAAATGTAGAGGAAAGGCTGCAACCACTTCCATGGTTGATTTTAAAGCCAGGATATGTTAAAATGTTCCAGCTATTTTGAACCCAGAGATAACTCAAGACTTGAGAAAGACTTTGAGATGTGTTTATACATCAAGAATTAGATCCGTGTTTCAACACTTACTTTTATTACTCGCCCGCTGAAGATATCATTGTTTAATAAATCTACAATGTTATTACACATTGTGTAATAACATGGCATGATGCCGGGCGTATGATGTCATAATGGTTTACAGTTATTACGTCACAATGGTAATACCTCTGTCACAATGGTATTAGATCTTGCTTGATTCACGGAAAGCTGATAGTCATCACATTGTAGGCAGTTTATCAATTTATGTTGGAGTGTAATAAACAGAATACTTAACTCGGTTCCGTGAAATACCATTTTTATTAAACTCGTGAAAGATTAAGTATCAAACTTGCTTTCACTCGGTTGATACCAAATCAGTAACTTGTTGAATAAAAATGGTATTACATGGAAGGTCATTTGGTATCCTCTATATATCCTTACTATAGATAAAGATGTGGCTAAATGTGTCAAAATGCTAATGTTAAAGGAAGAGTGTTTCTACTGAGCATGATCCTTTGACCCATGCCGGTTTTAGAGGATTGAGCAAACAACGAGCAAGAATATCCAGGCTTGCTGATAATTTGGCTTAGTTTAAAAATTGTCTTTAGTGACTCATCTTAGACACATGTATTTAGATTTGATGTGATCATATCTTATCCATTTTCACATTTGACTGAGACGTTTCATAGGTATGGAAAGATGGTACAAACTTGCACATAATGAGACTTTAAAAAATAAGAAAAGGGGATTAGTACTCAGCAATGTGAACCCGTCATGAATCAAAGTTTCACAATAGTTTGAAATTGACACAAATCTTCCTCATCTTTTTCCATGTTTATCAAAAGATATCAAAATATATTAAGAATTTTTTTAATGAATTTTTATTTGTTTCTTAGGTCAAGAGTTAATAGATGAGAAATGTAACCACACACGACTTGCAACAACAACAAACTGTGGCATAGCAGACTTAACTTACCATGGAATATGGTATATTTTATGTATGATTCATGCTGTGTGTAAAATGTACTCATCTGTCTCATGTGAACATGATTCTAATCAGAGTTACTTCCCTTAGATTGTAAAAACAAATCTACTTTTTGAACAAGGTCTGGAAGCAGATGTTTCTGTTATTTGTCGCTAGCATTTCTAACTTAAAACTATAATATCAATGCTTCCCACAGTCGACTATGTGCACATCTCATGACTAAATGAGCAAATGATATGTCACCTTATTTCTAGGGTAGGTGTATTTCTGAACTATTTTATATCCATTTATTGTGACTTAGTTACATGTAACTGTTGTCACCAGTATTTCAGTGATATTATAATTTGTCTGCATTATGTTGCTGATAACTCTGTTAACAGTACCAGGGAGTACGGAATTTGACCCCTCTATCATCATACACATCTAATGTACACATTGTTGTTCTTGGACATCCGCCATTGATTGTGACATCATAAACAATTGTTGTGATAAATGGCGGTCAACTTGGTCCTCATGTTGGTGCCCTGTAGTGTGTGGAGCCAGCGACTGATGTTTATGTCAGTCACTGGATTGTGTGGTTCACACTAGGTTATATCAAAGACGTATACATGTTTGGTTATTTCCGGACCACTGCTATATGTGTGGATTGTTGCGAAGTACAGCAGTGAAACAACAAGCAAATGTATCAGCCTCTACTGGACATTGTTGAGCTGATAAGAAAACAGAAAGTGCACCAATGTTTTGTCCCCAGGCTATACACCACTAGTGTGTCTTCATACTATCAACCACCAGTTTGTCCCCAGGTTATACATCACTATTGTCTTCATACTATAAACCACCATTTTATCCCAGGCTATACATCACTATTGTCTTCATACTATCAACCACCAGTTTGTCCTCAGGCTATACACTAGTGTCTTCATACTATCAACCACCAGTTTGTCCCCAGGCTATACACTAGTGTGTCTTCATACTATCAACCACCAGTTTGTCCCCAGGCTATACATCACTATTGTCTTCATACTATCAACCACCAGTTTGTCCCCAGGCTATACACTAGTGTGTTTTCGTACTATCAACCACCAGTTGTCCCCAGGCTATACATCACTATTGTCTTCATACTATCAACCACCAGTTTGTCCCGAGGCTATACACTAGTGTGTCTTCATACTATCACCCACCACTTGGTCCCCAGGCTATACACTAGTGTGTCTTCACACTATCAACCACCAGTTTGGTCACCAGGCTACACACCACTAGTGTGTCGTCATACTATCACCCACCAGTTTGTCCCCAGGCTATACAACACTAGTGTGTCTTCATACTATCAACCACCAGTTTGTCCCCAGGCTATACAGTAGTGTGTCTTCATACTATCAACCACCAGTTTGTCCCTGGCTATACATCACTATTGTCTTCATACTTATCAACCACCAGTTTGTCCCCAGGCTATATACCACTAGTGTGTTCATACTATCAGCCACCACTTTGTCCCCAGGCTGTACACTAGTGTGTTCATACTATCAACCACCAGTTTGTCCCCAGGTTATTCATCACTATTGTCTTCATACTATCACCCACCACTTGGTCCCCAGGCTATACACTAGTGTGTCTTCATACTATCAACCACCACTTGGTCGCAAGGCTATACACCACTAGTGTGTCTTCATACTATCAACCACCAGTTTGTCCCCAGGCTATACACTAGTGTGTCTTCATACTATCAACCACCAGTTGGCCCCCAGGCTATACACCACTAGTGTGTCTTCATAATATCAACAATCAGTTTGTCCCAAGGCTATACACTAGTGTGTCTTCATACTATCAACCACCAGTTTGTCCCCAGGCTATACACCACTAGTGTGTCTTCATACTATCAACCACCAGTTTGTCCCCAGGCTATACAGTAGTGTGTCTTCATACTATCAACCACCAGTTGGTCCCCAGGCTATACACCACTAGTGTGTCTTCCAAGAAACCAGTACTCACTGTAGTCTCTTTCCAGCAAAGATCCTCTCACAAAATGTAAAGAACCTAAGCACATACCTAATGTGTAGTTTGTTACAAAATGAATTTGCTTTCTGACTGCATGAGTTTTTTTTAACTGTTGCATTTTGGTCTGTAGCCTTGCATACTATAATGAACTGACTTGAGCTGTCTGAGGCTGAAGAACTAGAATATCAGTGTAATACTGCTCAGCGAAGCAGAACAAACACAAATTATATTAACACTATCATGTTACATTGTTACAAGCTTTTCTTCTTTGGTTTCAGAATGGTATTAGTAATTAGATGACTTTTGAATCTGACGATTTTGTCTGCGTGTGTCTGCTTCACTAATGACAATATTTATACATAAACTGCAACTGATACTGCGGCAGTTGATTGACTCTTCAAGCAAACTGTTTCAAGTTTATATTTCAGAAACCTGCACAAATAGTCCACACTACCGTTTCTTGAGTTGTTTGTGAGTGAGTGAGTTTTGAAAAATTACATCACACTATAGTCTGTTTGCAGTGAAAACGTACCGATGAATTTCACTTGAAGCAAAAAAGTAAATAAAATAAAGTGAAATTAAGATTGCGAATCCTCATAATTTTACCTTGCCAATTGAACTTTTAAATCTCAGAATTTTATTCAGCTTAGGATAAAAGCTGTTTAACAAACGATCATAGTTTCAAATCGTTATTATTGGTTTGTATTACAAGGGGGAAAGCTCAGTAGTTGAAACAGTGAAACAAATGGATGGTACGTGATGAGCGTTAGACTACCGTGGAAACCAACCCCTTCTTGTTCTTGGGGTTTCATTTAATGTGCATACACCCTTGTATTACACACCAATAATAGCGATTTGAAACTATGATAGTTTGTTAAACAACTTTTATCCTAAGTTGAATAAAATTCTGAGATTTTAATGTTCAATTGGCAAGGTAAAGTTATGAGGATTCGCAATCAAAATTTCACTTTATTTTATTTACTTTTTTTGTTTAAAGTGAAATTCATCGGTACGTTTTCACTGCAAACGAATTATATAAACCACTAATCCTGATGTATGATATTTCACACCAGTTTAGCACATTCTCGCTGTCAGGGCCCAGCCCATGACTACCAATAACCCAAACAAAACATGAGACAGTATTGGTTAAATTATTTTATTTCCAATCAACATGATCAGTTCAAGGCATGAAAAAATCAGACATTCAAACTGAACCAACATTTCAAACATATTCACACAGTTAATGATGAAATGTCCTGTATAGGTTATTGTGAAACCATTGTCGGGACAGAATCGACATGATGATGGTGTCACATGAATACATCTCTACGTTGACCATGGACCTTTCTGCACCAATGGAAATCCAGATTTGTTACAACTGACACGCATCACTCAACATGGCGTCAATAATGGTATGTTTAAAACAATCTTTAGACTATGGAATACATATTTGAGCATCAGACATGTTTCCTGCAATTAATTAGAATCAGCGAGTGACTTGAAATTGCTTTTAGCTGCAATTCACCATCCATACCTGATGTGGAACACAAAAACCCATATGTAGAACTGAACCTATGCTGTCAGCGACAGCACTTCCCACTGGGCCAGGATGACCTGATGTACAAACTCCTGCAAATTATACAGTAAGTTGTTCCAATGTTAAATATTGTTCAATTTTAAAAACGCTTTTGTTTTCAGAAAATGGAATTTCTTTTGAGTAAATTAGGGTATTTATTCTAATAATTTGGTTTTAAATTTGAAGAATTTATAATATTTGATTTAATGTGTATAACTTCATTTTCACTTTTTGAACATCTTTGTTTAGACAGGTGACATGTTGTCAACTGAGAACCATTATGTTTAACATCACACAGCCTGACAGGAGCTTTAACATAGGCTGAAGCGGTTATTCTGCCTTGTGAAGGGCTGTGATAGTGTACAACCATCTTGGTGCAGTAGAAATACTCCACCAGTTCACAAACATCATGAACATATATCCCTCACATGAATATGGCACATATTTTCTAAACATTTCAAACATATAAATCTTAAAAAAAAACAAAAACCATTAAAGCACCAAATACTCAATAAATCCCAATAAAATCATAATTTGATGAAATTGTATTGTCTTGTTTCTTCAGAAACTGAAAACCGTCATATTGAAGCCACAAAATAAAATCAATTATTTACAGACATGCTTTGTAACTGTAATAACTGTTTTAATCTTTCAGTTGCTTCCTATATTTCTTGGCCTAAAAATGACAAAGTTCCTGCGACACCTCTGGAGAAACCTGCACTGTTCTTGTCTTAATGTTCCAGCAGATGATAGCGTGGATCCATGTCCAGTGTAGATATTTGCAAACTCAAGAAAAGATGGTGCTGAAGAAACAAAGGTAACTTGTTCCTGTAAACCTGACCTGGGATTAGAACCCATCATCACAGGCTTCTGACATACCCAAGGGACACAACTCTGCACAGCAAACTGATGCCTTTGACTATGGTCCATCCCATATAAACTGATGTGGGGAAACACAACAGGTTTTCTACTCAGAATAATTATCTGTACATTCTGGTGGCTGTGTAATATTTATAATTTTGTGCACAATGATTTACAAAACTGGGAACTGGCAAATATTGAAAAGGACGGTCCTGTCTGTTTTCACAGATATATTCATGCAAAGTCAGATATGCTTCTTGAAATGTACAATGCATCAAACAGAACAATGACCTTTAAAGTCTGACCCTATTATTAACCTGGCAGTAATAGTTCAATTATGGTCTTCATTACTATTAATATACCAGTTTGATAGGTCATCAGAGTATTGACATTACATGACATCTTGTACCAAATCTGCAAGTCTTAATCTATAGTCTGAAATAAATGGATCATTAATATTCAACAACTACTGAATAAATCATTTCATTGTTCAACATGTTTTTTATGACAATATTATTCATTATCATTAATAATTAAATGAACACATACACTTGCTGTTATAAAGCCACTGGTTCCAATAACCATATTTAGGTTGATTCTGTCACATTATTCCTACATCCTATATCAATACAAATAGTGATACCCATGTTCTTATATTTATTGTAATGCAGAATTTGTGATATTTTAACATAAAAATTGCTCATCTTACAAAAACTGTTGCTATCAACCACTTTGTGCTTAACTTGCATGAAAGGTTAATTTTGACTTGTCTCTGATGCTATAAGATTCACCATGTTGTTTTGAAGTAAGAAACGAATTAAAACAGTTACAAACCATAATTCGGCTGTGATATGTTGTAACTTGATAAGAAGTAAAATATGATACAGGTAATTACATAGGTTATTAGTATTAACAAAAATATGTAAACAATTTTATCCTTCAACCCCTTTAAATATTATGAAGTTATTTACTTCCCTGTGGAAGAATAATAGTAGTAAGTGGACAAACATGTTCACGACAATCAAACAGGTTTCTATCACTGGTACCCAAATGAAGTTTAAAACAGTACCTTTGTGAAAAAAGAAATTTATAACAGTACCATTGTAAGAATAGAATTTAGTAACACTTACAATATTTCACAAACATATTTCTATCACAGACCAGCCTGTCAATCATGATTTCCAACTTACAACATGTCTGTTTCATAACGTACCATATTTCCTGAAATAAGGTCTCAATACCCACCGGAATCCAGAAAGCATTGGGTTTGAAGCATTTACAATAAATGTTTGGTATATTAAATTAAAGTATCTTTATAAATTAACACTTACATAACTAACACTCCAGTTTTTGTTGTTGCTATTCCATATTACTATTGTCAGTCTTTACTTTCAGACCCGTGAAGATCCGGGTTACAACTGGTCTTCAGCAACCCATGCTTGTCGTAAAAGGCGACTAAGATGAAGGGGTAGTCAGCCTCACTGACTTGGTTGACACATTTTATCGTATCTCAATTGCGTAGAATGATGCTCATGCTGTTGATCACTGGATTGCCTGGTCCAGATTTGATTATTACAGACCACCGCCATATAGCTGGAATATTGCTGGGTGCGGCGTTAAACTACATACCAACCACCCAACTTTATCTTAAATATACTGGACAAAATAAGTTAGGGATATTGGTGTTTTTATGACTGATATTTTATTAGTGTGTCAATGAATAAATAGATCATTATTCATAATTTCAAAATTTACATATATCCCTAACTATTTTTGTGCAGTATATACATTCTGTATAAAGAACATTACGTTTTCATGTCAATGTATTTGTGACTGCAGCTTATGCAACATAAGAGTTGAAATATTAGGCACAATGTCTCTAATTACAGCCTGGTCTCCATTACCCACTGGGTTTGGAAGCACCAGAGTACTTATCAGAGGAAATATGGTACTTTTGCCAACACCTGTCAAAGTAACTCATGAGCTCTGACCTGTTACAATACAGGTCTATCAATAATTCATATTTATATCCTTTGTTCATGATTAAAAAGTGTCAGACTTCTACATAATTAATACTGCAATACAATATATGGTATCATCCATTGTCAATTTAATCACAGGATTATGATCAATACCAAAAATATCATCATCAAAGTAATGATTAATATAGTTTGGGTCTACCAAACAATAACGCAAATATTTTTTGCAGATTTTCTTTACGTTGGAATATGACATCATGCACTAACACAACTTTCAGCCAAATAAAACAAAATATTTCGAGATAAACTAAATATATTTTTATTTCATCTACCCAAGCTTTAGAGTCAACAAACAATATATTACAGTGTGGCCATACTGGGTCCTAATTATAATTAAGGGACAATCAATTTCTTTGTAGAATTGTGTAGAATTTTTCAGTTTGTTTTGACACCATGATTGTTTACACATAGTTTTTCTTTCATATATGTACTATGATTTTTTCAGCCTCAAAATAAAATTATCTGAAAGAGGTGATTCTGATGGACACTTAATGATTCAGCTTTAGCACTTTCATGTTTTGACATTTTTTTAAAAACATCACTTCAACACATTACTCTACCACCTCCCTATGATTCTGCTGAGTAAAAACAATGTAAATAATATATACAGACAAATAATTCAAATATTTACAATTAAAAATATCCATCACTGTATCATGCTGGAATATACGCATGTGTGTGTACTATATGAACATGATCAGACGGTATGCTGTTCACTAATTCTTACTTCCAACACAGGTACTACTGTTCAGACAACTGATCACACAATATTTAATGTTGTTTCAGGTGATCCAAGACATATTATTGAGAGTGAGTATAATTTTACGTCCCTTTAGGCAATATTCCCCCCAAATCATGGCATGATGAGAACTACTACCCAACCTTCAATACTCCACCTTCCCAAATAATTGAAAAACAAGGATAGAAATATGCCATTTAAAAACGAAGTTTGTTATTGGAATGATAAAACAACATGATATTTTCTAGACATAGCTGTGCTATCTTATTCTATACCTCAAGAAAAATATTTCTGATTAAGTCTTTATAATCATTTATTCTTGCCATCCCATCCTTCTGCCGAAGCGTACAGAAGCATCACTAAATCCCAAATGAACAGACACTGATATTTACAAAACAAGAATTCAAGGTGACATCAACAATGACAATGCTTATGTAGATCATACACTTGCAGTAATAGACTAGAAAGGGCAACAAGCTTATGTCTGTTAAGTTTCATGAATTTCTGATAGAATGGATAGAATCTGATAGAGTGGAATATTGATGAGGGTAGATTAGTTGGAGAGTTTCTGGTAGTACTTCTGGTAGCCAGCTGATTGTACCTTTGTGTGGAACAATGCAAAATTAATGAATTCACACATCAACATTCTGTGCTAGATGAAACTAATTTTTTCTACCTGAAATGTCATGTCACAAATAATCCAGTGGTATTGATAGGCATAAATTATGTAAGTGATCTAAGTACAAATGAGTCCCTCTCATGAAACACTCTCCTTTCAAACACCTTTCAACAATACTTAGCACGAGATGAATTTCATGAGATTATCTTCTGTGTAATTGTGATTTTTAATCCAAGCAGTAGCTAATACCAGTCAATTCTGAAAATAAACTAGCCTTATTTCAACACATCCTGATGAAATTTGCCAAACCCCAATCAACGTTTAAAAGTGTTAATTTCAAGATCAGTGAGTAACCTAAAACAATAAAATAGTGATTTTGGCACAAAAGACACCTAAGAATTTGACATTGTATAAAATCAGCACCATTGGTATCGTTTCCTGTGCTGTGGAGATGAATTAAGCTGTAAAAGTTCTTCAAAAACTAATGATAATGTCTGTATGTGAACTAACTCTATATGAAACATGAAGCTCTGGTTGAAAGCCACCTACCAAACTAACTACTACACTATCCAAGTGTGATAATGCCAGGCCGATTTTATTACTTGTTTTTTTAAGATCTGCATGCACCTTTTAGCCATTTCTGTCCAAATATTTAACAGGAAAAAATCTGTCTTCTAATCTGCAACCTTAAACTGTACTTTCATACTGTTAAAGTTGCATTTTGACTTTGTTTGTTTTCATTCATATGCTTTAGACTTTACTTGAAGTGAAGGGACAACATTCTCACACAAAAACACAAAACATAAAATTACTCCAAATATGTCAAAAGGTTTTTATACAAGAAAACATGGTAAGGCCCGACCAATTTTATTTCTTGCTTTACAGAGTTTTGTCCTCAGAAAACCTAAAGGTAGGAGGGAAAAAAGAAAAGAACAAAATCACCAGTCAAAATACTAAAAGTAATTTACTTTTGGCAACTTATGAAGTGTATATGGGACAAAATACAATTCAAAAAACATTTTCTTGTAAGTTTACATTTTTGGCCAATAAAAACATTAGGATATTATTTCTTGAGTGGGGAAAAATAATTAATAATTTTTTTCTTATTCTTGAAAAATTACGACCTGCAGATCCCTAAAACAAGAAATAAAATTGCTCTGGCCTAATGGACAGAATGCTGAAATATACTGAGAGAAACAGATAATGGAACACAGGAAAATTCAAGTGTTCCTTCAATATTGTCCAGTTTTCATCACCAGCTTTGAATAGTGCTGTGCGACGAAATCTGATAATAAATAAAGGAACACTGCCATCAAGTGGTGTTCCCTTTTTTGTTTCCCTCAGTATATATGTAATAACTGATTTCATTCCTACAAAGTATCACATATTTCCTCCTCCTACCCTCAGATGTTTGGGAGGTAAAACATGAACACTAGTAACGACTTGGATGGAGATCTTACACTTAATACAAACTTTCGTCAAATTACTTTACACAAACTTTCAGGATTTGGGTCAGATCCATATGATAACACAGCCTCTCAACATTTACGGCAGTGTTTGACGTTATCGGAAAAATAACTGTGCTTGGATGGAAGCAGCAGCAATATCATAAAGCATTATACACATATACTCTGATTATACGGTCAGCTAATATGGTGACAATGTCTTCAATATGTTGATCAGTAGGAATACACTACACAAAACAATTTAAGGAACACATGGAGGGCTGTGTGTCAAAACACCTACCAGTCATAATAGATGAACTATAGTTATAAAACAATCAGGTGTTCCTTAAATCAATTTGAGTAGTATATATAACAATCAGGACAAGACCAGTATTCAATGGTAATTTCCTAACACTAAGAACCATTTGAAGCATGTCAACAATGATGTTTTCACATTTCATGCTTACAAGTTTTTGATAAGTATATCTTTGATCTTTCCATGTCATACAAAACTGATAATAATGTAAAAAGAATGTCTAAAAAGAATGACATCTGATGATCCCTAGCCAAAGTTGAGTAGTATATAACTTACTAGATGACCTAATGAATACAGCTTGAATACAAGAAACTACTTACACTTGAATGTCTTATTAGCCTTCAATTTATCTTAGTGTCTATCATATAAACAAAAGGACCTCATTTTGGATAGTGGGCAACACTTCAATCCAGTAGAATCCATACATACACTTTCAATCCATTGAGTTAAACTGAAAAGGTGCCCCAGATGTTTGTGTTTTTGGAATTGTGTACAAACCTAACAACTCATCCTTTTGGGGTATCACTTACTGAAATGATAGCATTGTATATAAAATAAATAATGATCAGTATGTCTGTCTAAATGGATGCAGTTGTTTTTAAAGGACAGCACTTGTGCATGATTTATGTCATCGCTGGAGTTCTTTGCTTGACTTAGTTCTTGCAATGGTGATCGGTTCACAGCAAAGTCACCGACAGGCATTCATGTCATCTGTCTATGAAATCTATGCTTGATGGGTGTGAATGTTTTTGTCTCAAGCCTCTCCAATCTTTACACAAAACTACCACCTTATATGGTATGTTACAATTTCCATGGGAGATAACCCTAAAGGAGAATGAATATCAACAGTGGCTTTATCATAAAGATGGGTGAGAGTTGTCTCCCTTAGAGACCCCACTGGGAAGTCTTTGAGCAGTGATGCAAGGGACATTGATCTGTCAGTCACAGCACATTGCAACCCTCGAGCAGGGAAATCACAGTTGTAACCACGGCGATGTAAAATCAAACTTGTACCATTGTAGGCCAGGTTTGCTGTGGAGAGGCTCCGGAAGCTAACCACAGTTGTGTCACAGGGCAATGCTGATCCCAATGGCAGCAAAGTGTGCTGAAATATGTCGGAATCTACAAGACTGAAGTATATCATGACTGGCTGCTGAAGGAGGTCATTTAAGGAAGTGCTAAGCAGCGATGGTAGTGCATAGTGAGCTGGTTGCTGTTTTGAAACATGGTTCCGCTTCTCAAGGAGCAACAGGAAGTCCAACGTGACCTCCTTGATGTCCTCAATCGACTCCTGAAGACCACGGTTGTCATCGTAGATGGTCTGCCTGTCCAGCATTACTTCCAGCCAACCAGATTCAAGAGAAGCTACACCATGTGACTGACTGGAGTGTAATGTCAGTCTTCGATGTTCATCATCCAAGAATGCTGTTGATGTCATTGGATAGTAGTTAGCCTCTATACGAACATTCTTATTTGTTTTGCGTTTGATCATTTGGAATCCATTTTGGTCTGTGTAGTATGATGAATCTTTGCTATGAATGTCTGTTTTCATTCTCATAATGATTTCCTTTTCCTTCAACATCTTGATGTTGATGGTGTTGGCGATGCGGACTCCGGACGCCTGCAGCTCAGGGTGGCTGTACAGCTGGACTGAATGCTGCAGATAGGGCTGAAATAGTACCTCCAGTCTTGACATCAGGGGTCCTTCAATCACACGAATAACTGGAATGTTGTTGATGTAGAATGCAGGTTTAGCCTCACTAGAAGGATAAAAAAGATAGGCGCCGCTGCCCTGGGATTTATAGGCTAAAAACTCTAGACCAATATCGGTCTTGTTGCCTGTGGCTTTTTCTATTATGTATTGCAGTCCACCCTTGGTAGGTTCAAACACCAGCTTAATATTCTCATTCTCCATAACTATTGGGTTAGAGTTATCTTTCCTTGGCCTTCTTTGTGGAAACCTGACCTCTGGTGGCACAATAAGAGTCTCAGTATGATACACAGATATCTTGGCAGGGAAGACATTGTTATGGTCAAATTCATCTGTTTTAAATAACATGAAAGGTGTTATACTAAATGGTGCCAGCTCAGCAATAAACACCACCTCAAACTTCACATTTGAGACAATCAAACTTTCATCCCATATAGGATTCACCTGGCAAGGTATTACTTGCAACTTGTCATTTTTAATGATCAGATGATCTGTGCTAACATGGAGATGAATGACCTCCCTCCTGAACTGGGCAAGAGGGTTGAACAGAACTACTCTCGTGCCCTCCTCCTGCACCTCAATGGTCTGCTTCCTGGGTTGCTCATTGAAGTGGCGCCTCACAGTTTCTGGTCGGAACACAAGTGGTGACTCTACTTTGCCCTTGGACAGCAGTGACTGGATCGTCATCTGCATCACTGACTGAGTGGCATTGTAAGCCTGCAGGAGCTGAGTTTCATAATCCACAACCACATATTCCTTGGATGTTCCAGTGATGGCATCATGATGAAGAAACAATCCCAGGCTTCTTCGAGCCTGTTGTAAGAAAGTGGCATATTTGAAGTAATGATCTCTAGTTGGCATCCTCCACTTTTTGAAATATGCATACGCTACAGTGTTCAATGTATCTGCAGCTTGGATATGGTTCTGAACGTCCCTTGAAAACCTTTTGTCAAAAGGTCTTGTAGTGTAGTAGCCTGTCCAGTATTCATTGTTCCTGTCGGAATAAGGGAAGAAGTCCCCACTGAGGACAGGCAGGCCTTTATCCTTCCTGTAATACATCTTGCTGGCTTTCTGCTGCTTCATGTGATCAAAGTAATCCTTGAGGGTTCCAAATCTCACATTTATCTTCCAGTCTCTCCTGTTGTTCATATAGTTCATAAGTTTCCCATAGTTCGTGTACTGCTGGTCCCATTCAACCTCATAGTCGAAGCGGAAGTCATCACCCAGAGGAACAAGAATGGTATTGTATTTATAAAGGTAAGACTTTTTGCGATATTGTTCATACAAATATTTGGCTTGTTTTTCGAGGTTCTCAGAAGTGATACCTTTTGCTCTGCTCTCAGAGTATTCATTGGGGACCTGTCTGAAGTCGAACAGTAAGCAAATGAACCTATTTGGCCCACAGGTGTATTTGATGCTGTACAACATATAGGGCATGACATGACACAGGATGTCACTGGAGCCTTTGGTATCCCAGTACTGCCGCCACATAAACTCAAGACTGTTCTTAGATATGAGAGATCCTTTGATTGCCTGATGAACTCGCTGGATCACCATGTTCTCCATGCCAGCTTTTTTCCACAGATACGGCATTGTCCCAGAATATCCAAATGGATCAATTGACCAACTGTTCTCAGGTTTCACCCCGAGGTTTTCCCACATCCACTGATGTCCTTCCAGAAGCTGATCTATCACAGACACATAGTGGGTTGATGCTTCATCAGGCATCACCCACCCACCTAGGACAATTTCCAGCTGCCCCCGACGGACCAGACGCCGCACATGGACCTTCACAGCATCTTCTAGCTCGTTCCACCACATACTGAAGTAGACTGTCTCTGCCCATATGAAGGTCATGTTAGGGTAGTCGGTCAGCTTGTTGACCATGTTGGTCAGGATGTGCTTTGTCTGGTCCACATAGTACTCATCTACAGTCTTCAGCCATCCAGGATCATTGTGGGAGTGGGGAACCACAATCACCTCAAGCTGTTCCAGCTCATGGTCCACTCGACTGGGGAAATCAGGAGGTGCTGTTGGCATCTCATAGGACCCGTCAGGGTGCAAGTTGAAGTCTGTCTGTTGGTACACGTCATATGTGGAGATATTAGATCTGGATGTGGCTGTGTGTTGAAAGTGACACATGCTGGCATCCTGTTCCATGGAGAAGTGTTTGACTGGCCAGTAGTTGGGCTCCACCAGTCTGGCATGGTTGATGTGGGGGTTCTCATACAGGCCATCGTCAGTGTAGTAATACAGAACTGTAAGGGTTATGAATGCAGAACTGCATAGGATCACAAGTCGCTGCCAAAACTTCATCCTGGAACAATCTTGTTATGGGTGATGGCCAGCCTCTTACACATCTTAGCCTTCACCCGCCTCCTTCATATAGTCCCTGGGCACTGCAGCCTGGAAATAGATAAGCACACGTTAGTCTCATGGATAACATCACACATATCACATACGTAAATATCACAGTATAGGGCAGGGTGGGGCAGGGCAGGGTGCGGAGTGAGCAATGTTGAGATGAGGGTGGGAGAGTGATGGGGGTGGGGGTAGGCAAGTGGTGAAACAGACTTAATATGGCAGGGCTGGTGTTGGGCAGTTAACAAATGACAATCTGATTTCCTATTTACAGGCAATTTTGAGAAAATACTGGTTGGAGATAAAACACATTCAGTTTGATATTGTTGTTCCAAATGGTACATGAATATAATGTCCAAGATATTTTTATTGATTAAACTTCTTTTTGATTTCCCTCATGACGTTTTGGGACCATTCCAGGTCCCTTCATCAGGTGAACTGGAGATCAGTTCAGGTCCCTTCATCAGGTGAACTGGAGATCAGTTCACCTGATGAAGGGATCAGTTTACCTGATGAAGGGACCTGGAATGGTCCCGAAACGTCGTGAGGGAAATAAAAAAAGAAGTTTAATCCACAAAAATATCTTGGACATCTATGTACAAGTTCTAAATGTCACTGAAAGACATCATGAATATAATGCCTTGCGTGCAATGATAACTAAGCATCCCTCATGGTAACTTATTGTGACTGCCTGACTGACTGAGTTTGGTTTTACGCCGCTTTTAGCAATATTCCAGCAATATCACGGCGGGGGACACCAGAAATGGGCTTAACACATTGTGCCCATGTGGGGAAATCGAACCCGGGTCTTCGGCGTGACGGGCCGACGCTTTAACCACTAGGCTCCCCCACTGCCCCGGTAACTTATTGTGACCTTTTACAACAGCCATAAGTGAAACATTAAAACAGGATTATTCAGATTTCATTTCATACAGACAGCATAACATCTAAACTACAGTCAAACACTGTGTCCAACCTTGATGTATTTCACGGACAACTGTCTCGAAGTAAAAGCTGGGTCCTGTGTATACCTTATTCAATCATCATTTTGCAGTTGTATCTAACCTCGAATATCCCATGTATCTACATGCGTCTCTTCAACTTCAACAGAACAGTATTTTACTGTACTATACAATTATTATCAACATTTTCTCAACTTGTTTCAAAAAGAATCCTTAAACACTTTTTCTTTTCGTGCTGTCTCATTTTTAGGATGTTGATATTTATGGCCTGCTTTGCTGTTCATTAAATGTCAAAGAGTGATTGTATCTCACAGAGCTGCAGCTGAAAGACAGACATATACCCATGCTTCATTTATCCTAGAAACTATAATCAGTGACATAACAACAACACAAAAAGACATGATAAATGTCATCATCATGGCCATTGAACAGATCATTTTCTAAAAAGGTACACAAGTCCAAAATTCTTCAGAATCCCAAGTTTTCTTAACATAACCATACAACCAAATCTATTTCCATCTCCTGAATTTTTCAATACTGTCAAACCACAAGTTGTTTTTACACATTTTATTTGACACACTTGATATATTAAAAACTGCCATTGTCAAGTGGAGAAGTGATAAATACTTTGACTGAACAAAAACCTTCCCGATAATAGTTTCCAGCATGGCTGGGACAATTCCAAATTTACTACCTAGGTATACAACCTCCATTATCTCAATCTTCCAGTTGTTGAGAACATAATGTGTCTGACTTGGAAATTCAGTTACAAGAGCCCTGACTAAATGTATTCAGACAGATATATCGGATCATCTCATGCATGAATTAAATTTGGCTGAAGCTTTATCTGCATTCATACTTATAAAAGTCAGAGAAATGTGCAAACGCGAACCAGTGAGGTATAGTGAATATATATCATTAAACTATAGACAGGTATTACTGGAGATACATAGGTCCAGATACTCCTGTTGGTACTCGGGTCCAATTCGGGGTCCAACTCAGTACCCACCCTACCAATGTAGAGTTATCATCTGTAGTTACCAGGCAATTATTTCTCCTTCTTAGCAGGTGCTTCCATTAAAATGAATCTGTCACATACACAAGTACATTAATGTCAGCAATATAAATATGTAGAAGGCTTACAACAGAATTTCCGGCCTCCATTTTGGAATTGTACATAAAGGAACAAGGGCAACTGTATGTCAGATAAGATCTCTTTCACACCAAGGACAAGTGAAACTTATATCTCACAAGAAATACAAGCAAGGTTGTTTCAAGATTAACATAATTTCCCTAGAAACCAGACACAAACTGTGAACAATCCATTGATCTTTGTCAACATTTTATTCTTCCTCCAGAATGATTTAAATAATGCATTTAACGCTGGATATGGTAAGAGGCAAATCTGCTATATCAGCAAATCTGCTGGAGAATCAATGCGCTGTGGTATTTCAGTAAACTTACTGATGATATTCAGGACATATTTAATGCCATGAATCCTAGAGGTGAATATATGTTTCCACAGATTTCTAATTCATACCTTTATCAGACTAAGTACCCATTGAAAATGAAACTGATCATATATTGACACCAAGAGGTGAATATACAATTCCACAGATTTCTAATTCATACCTCTATGAGACTAATTGCCCATTGAAAATGAAACTGATTATATATTGACACTAAATGTAAAAATATGCTCGGTTAGATATCCTGTAGGTAAGGAATGTGTTTGACGACAAAGATAGATAATATGTTGTTTGAATATAATGTACTGAATTAATTAATCCAATACAAATGCCTTTATAGTGATTTGTAGTGAAATCTGTAGTAAGTTGGCTTTAATGACCATTTTAACAGTAGCTATTTAGCCATACAAATCACAGATATGACAACACCCTACAATGCATGAAAATCTTTCACCATGGATCCTGACAGGACAAACATTCCAACCATGCCTGAAGCTTTACATGAAGACATTCATATAAAACAAAAACAACTTGCCATACTATCAATATTACAGTCAGATGAAAACATTTATATATACAGATAGGTAAATAAATGATTCAAACAATTTTAAGTAAATGGTATTAATCTAAAGTTGATGATTCATTTCCTATAAATTTCAACTTCTTATCTTCCACAAAATATACCGGTCCTCTTCAACCCTTGCCATCTCAATAAAGCCAACGTATACATCACCAAAACATCTTTCTAAAATGCCTATAAAACCTGGTAATACAATACATGAATCATAGTTATAGTCACTGCATAAGTTATGAAAAAAATGACTTTTATCAAAAGCTGACAAATTCACTCAAATTACGTTTTATGATCATGGTGTCTCAAGCAACTTTCCAATCCTTGGCAGCACAAGTATTTCAGTATGTATTTTATTGTAAAGGGGGTCAACAACTTATAACTGATCTATTCTCATGGCCATAACTAATCTTCCATGACCATCACTACAATCATGAGAAATGGTCTGGGATCATTTACTTCTGACTCGAGAAGATCCGGGTTAGAATGAACCTGCAGTAACCCATGCTTGTCGTAAGAGGCGACTAACGGGATCGGTGGTCAGGCTTGCTGACTTAGTTCACACATGTCATCGGTTCCCAATTGTGCAGATCGATGCTCATGCTGTTGATCACTGGATTGACTGGTCCAGATTTGATTATTTACAGACCGCCGCCATACAGCTGGAATATTGCTGAGTGTGGCGTAAAACTAAACTCACTCACTCATTTACTTCTTTTGTGTAGCATCAATCATTATCTTTGTACACAGCACAATGTGATGCAGGTTTATGTTTTATGTTTTTTTATTATTCTTGGTTTGTTTGTTGTTTAATTCCACACTGAAACAACTGTAAACAATCAAGTATAGACTAGACAATCCAGTGATTAACGAGCATCAACCTACACATTAGGAGTATGATGGCATGTATCAACCACTATAGCCAGTCTGAGCACCAGATCCAATGAGCAGCCTCTTACAACAAGCATGGATGGTTGAGGATCAATTCTAATCCAGATCTTCATGGATGAGACCTTATTTATGAGACGATTATGTGCAATGATAAAACACATCTATTTTCAAATAAGAACAGGAATATAAAAGTAATTTATGTCATCGTCCTAGTACTATAGTCTGTCACTCAGACATTTCCACAAATCAATAGACTAATGCTTAGTCTCTGAATATATATAATTTTGATAGCAACAACCAAGCCCATTTAAATTGAAAAGGAGCCCCAGGGAGACCAGAGATTCAGACCTGAACCTGAGGAAATCTAGACTTGCTTTATTAAGGGCTTGGCAGTAGGGAAAATAATGTGGTTCAGGGACTGTGAGACAGACTAACAAATCAGTTCCCAATATTTTAAAACATTTGACCCTTTTAGCGACTGTGGATATATACTTTATATTAAAAAACTTGACTGAGAGTCTATCATCCAAATTCACTCTTCCACCATTTCAAGTTTGAAAACAGTAATAACCATTGTCTTAAGTGTATCTTTAAGTACAGATAGCCAGCTTCACAAACAGAAAGATCAGTGATGTCATTTGACTGTGACATCATGGCAACCAATGATGTCACAGTTAAATGAATTTCATTGTGGATGTACCTATACCTCCTTGGAGATCTCACTCAATTTCCTGTAGAAGAGAATTATGGGTGACAAAGAAAAGTTATTCACAGAAGAAGCAACTTCTGCCACAACTTCTGCCAGCAACAAATCCTTAGTTGCTTTCAATGAGAGCCATTATTGACAGTCGGCAGCCATATAACTGTCATCTCCAGTAGCAGATGAATCACCAGCTGTGTGAAAAACAAGATAAATTTGTCTCAGGTAATGTTATGACCTATAGCTTGTAAAAATATAGATGGAAGTAATGCATATAAGTCTGACAACTGTATCTATTACCAACACTATGACGAGGTCATAAACAGAATTAGTTGCCGATCAAATACGCCCACAGGCACACAGGCACACAGAGCAGTGATACAGTCTATCTGAGTGTAACGGAGACAAAACCTCTATACACATACCCAGTCAGACCCTGGTTAGAGTGAGTG